GGGCTGCTTTAGGGGTTCATGAAATACGCGCTCGCTACCCTCTTTGGGCTTTACTCTCACCCTGTGTCGTTGCCCTGTCTCCCTCTCCTTTTACTTTCTCTATTTCTCTAGCATACCAACTTTCCGTCTAAAATTGCTCCATCGTTAATCCTAGTTAACTATTGTCGACCATTTCCTGACATTTTTTCTCCTGATCTTCCATTCTCTCAATCACTGCACAAGATTATTCTGCCAAAATCAAGCAACAACATGTTAGATATTTATAATGATAGCCAACTAGACGCGTTCTTTCCAAAGAGTCTGGGGTAAGTCCCGTGCTGTTCCTCACCATCCTCTTACCAGAAGGCACCTTCGCCTTCCCCACTCCGTGGCCAGATCCTTAACAACAATATCTTTGTTAGTTAGTGCTAAGCCGCGCCTAACCGCTTTACCTTTTTTAACTGCTTCCACGTTTCCTCGTGGCCAACGTATTTTATGATACTCGATGGCCGCGTGGCTTCGGGCCACCCGCCATTTGGACACTACCCTTGCAAAGCCTATTAAGGCCCACGCAAGCTGGGTCCCTATCGTAAAACCATTTAAAAAGGCGAGGAATTCCGGGTTAACTATCTTTGACAACTCTTAAAAATAAGCTGTCACTAACAAACAATATTTACGGATTATTAGAAGTAGCTAATGCAATTACTTAGAAAATCCAGCGAAACATATTGTCTTCTAAACAAAGATAAACAAACTGTTGAGCAAGCTTTCAGTTTTGTTCTATTCAACGACCAACAAAGAGTGAAAAGAGGAAATCGTCAATGCCTCTCTTCAAAAGTTCCCTTTCGCTGTTAGCATCAGAGTCCAGCACACCAGCGTTAATTCCGTTCATCGAATCGCGGGGCGGGAAAGAAAAAAAGAGGCGCGCGAGGGTGAAATCACCCTCGAAAGTTTTTTTTCCGTTTCGGACCCCCCGTGGATTTCATCGCAAGAACTTTGACGAGGAGTCGCGTGGCATTCCAACGTGGCCGAGATTAAGCAGGAATATTTAGCAAATATTTCGCATAAATCAAAGCGACGCAATATGTTCGTAAGTTCGGAAGCCTGGCTATGTAAATTCATGGTAATATCGGATGGCCACCCAGCGGAGCGAAGAGTTTCGATTCGTGAAAGGGGAGCAGAATAAACGAGGGGGGGGGGGAGCGGTTGGTTTAATGAATAGATACCAGTCAAAGATTCGACAAAGACCTGTTATACAGTGGGTGTAGAAAGTATTCGGACACTCTTTAAAACAGAATGACGTTTTTAATATCGAAATAAGATAATTAATATAATAGATATTTAATTATATTGAAATTAATAAAAGACAGGATAAAGTAAATATTCGAGACAAATTCTATAAGTACAAAAATAATTCTTTATGTCATTGTAATTCTTACAGAAAATTTTTGATCTTCTTTTGAAACTTTCTCATTCGACTGCAAATCTTATGCATTTGTAGAGAAAATTTAAAATATCTCGATGTTATAATTTTTAAAGAGAGAACAAATTACTGTCTAGATTACATTTTCTGAATTATTTTATTTTGCATAAGAATACGCAATTTACTTATTACATATTTACAAAGCGTAATAAACGAAAACCTGAAGAAGCAAGATAAGGATGGCAACGATAAAACGAAATTACAGTGAAGTGAGGGATAGACGAAGGAGGAAATAGAATACGGAGGAGGTAAATTTCTCCCTGGCGAATATTGCACGGAAGTGTAATGTATCTTGTGACACTGCGACCGTCCCGGATAGCTATAATTTGAAACGGTGAAACGGTACTCCTTAGCTGCAGGCTATTTGGCGGTTTCTCCAGATTCCATCGGCCGTCCCGTGCGATGGTCAGTCGGTTCGTATTTGGCTTCGCGTAGCGCAAAAGGGACGTATTCCTGTTCCGTACAGGGGAGAATACTTGGTCCCGAAGCCAGTTAAGTTTACCAAGTATTATGCTACTGTACATCGATTTCATGGTTTGAAAAACAATCCATATCTTTTTCATAGTAGAAATTTAATCTGATGGTACGATGTTTATTTATTTTTATATAAATAATCGTATGACAATATTTATATAAATAATCGATATTTGGTACAGTAGTAATCCATGATGTTCATCAAACGTTGTATCTGAAATTATTATTTAATGCAGTGTACTATTAATAATTAATTTCAAAATCAGAAAATTCTTCGAATATTTATCCTGTTAATAATACACGAAGCACTTAGTCTATTGTAGTTGATCATTAAATTCCTCTTACATGAAGTCCATTCACGACAACTAAAATCGCTGGAATATCGACTTTTGTCCATTTCCGTGCACGTTCAGTCGACCGGGTCTTGAGCTTCCGTTCGTCCCTTCGCGGCGCGCCTTTTTCTGTTTTGTTTCATTTCCCACTTCACATATTCATATGGCGCTCTTTGCTTACGATAAATGCGGACCATTTGCATGTAGGGTCTCCTCTCTGGAACCAGACCCCTTCCCCGGTGCGGTGTAACCCTCGCTCGAGTCCTCTTCGTCGCACTCCGACCCTCCGGGTTGGGTGGCCCCAGGGTGCTCGCTTCGGTCACCCCTTCGCGGCTCAACTCCAGCGCGATAAGCCGCCCCCGGGGATCCGCGATTGTCTCGATTTATATGCATGCACAGACGTAGGTGGTGGGCCGTGGCTGTGGCTCTCTGACTGTGTCGCATCGATGGGTGCTACTGGGGGCGGAGAAAACAAGAGCGGGTGGCCGTCGAGCGGAGACGCGACCGTCGATAGATCGATTCTCCAGGCAGACAGTAAATATCGCTGATGAGCTGGTCCGATCGTCGGACGATTGGGACTTAGGGCCGGGGGTCGCGAGGGGCTCCGGGTGCTTACCCTGCGATTTGTCGAGTGGCTCGAATCCTCGCGCTACTCAGCACTATACTTCCGCGCCACGCAGTCGACCCACCCTCCGGCACCGCTCTCCGCGCACATTTCAGTCTTTATCCGAACTCGGTTCGACCATTCTTTATTCCTCGCAATTTTTGTTTTAACGGCTACTCCTCCCTCTAGTCGGAGATTTTACGAAGCGCCCGGTACCTTGGGAGGGCCACACGCGTCATGCGCCACGCTGAACATTGCCGGGGATTAACGCTCTGCTCGGTAATTTTTTTTTCTCTCTCTCCTCTAGTTTAGCCGCGTGCCAGGAAATTGTTGCGAACGAGGGGCTTCCTGCGTGCGCGCGGCCCCGTCCGCCCGATTATCCGAATTAATTCGGAAATGTCCCCTTAATGACCCACCCGGCAATATTTTTATTCCGTACGCGTAGCTGTTTGCGAAACGTGTATGCGTCGCGTTCAGTATAATGGGCGCAACTAATTGATTTCAACCGAAATAATTTTCTCCGAATCGTTTGCGAAGCATAATTTCATGTAAAATATTCTGTTCAGTTCTCAATGCCATTTCAGATTACAAATTATTTATTACTGTATTTTGTTTGAAAACATTTTATCGTATAAAATACTTCGAATAAAGTATAGAAGCACATATTTTAAATATATTTTTATTTGATTATTAATATTGAAATGATTATAATTTATGTGTAACATGAAACTACAATATAATTTATGTCGTTATGCTTCTGCTTTCAGGTTTCCCTGTGCGACGATTATAGTCTACCAGTTGATTTCGTAAATAAAAGACGTCCTGCCAGTGCCGCGGCTGCAACCTCTACGGTCCAGTGGGCGCTACCGAGTCCTACAGTCGAGAACGTGAGTACCACTATTGTCATGTCTGAATTTTACCTTTCGTTTCTCTAATACCAATTTAAAAATTATAATAAAAAATAAAATACCACGGGATGGGTTCAATAATTAGGCGAAAGTTATGATTAGATTATGGATCTTATGATAGTAATAGAAAAGTTAGGTGTGTACATAATATAGAAATCCATCCAACGTGTACAACATAGAAAGTGCACATTCTTTTTTCTAAGTTATATCTAAACTGACTTTTATGGAAAAGAAAGTGTGATGAAGGATTTTGTGATGCTGAAAACGAGATTTTCTTTGTTCTTCAGAAATAATGATGTGCATTTATAACTATGCACGCTGAATGCATTCTTTATGTTTTCTCCGCATTCACTATTTTTGACAAGTGCATAAAATCCGCGATCTGGTTAAAAAAAATTCCTATCTCAATTTCAGTTTCTATGTCGACACTATAAATATTTGTATAAATATCCGTCCTTTAATCAAGACACTTGACACGAATCGTACCGAATTTATTGTACGCGTTCATTATTTTCAAGTTCAAAGGCTTAAATCTGACTGTTTAACGGTTCTGCGTGGCTCATTCGAGGGGCATTTCGTTGTGCATGAGTTATATCAGGATGAAAATTTTCATGCTGGATTTACAACAATGTATCGATATACAGCCAGCTTTATTCAAGTTCTCTCGGTTCAATAAACGCGCATTGTTCGCGTAATCACGTCACCGTGTCGCATTTGGATCGTTGCGACGTTTAGGTTTAATCTAGCTCGTTTTCAATCAACGAAGGTTATCAGTTTTTGTCCATACAGAGTGGAGAAGAAAGATACAATGAATAATGCAGTAGAGACTTTTTAAGTCACACCCTTTTTGATTTATATGATTACATTCATAAAATACCCAATTTTGTTGTATTTAAACTGGTTGAAGATTGTTTAAATTGACAAATTGAAATTAAAAGTACAAAGTTCTCCGTTTTTAAACTCAATGGGAACGATACTAAACATCTTCGGGATGGGACCGGAATTCTTTCCTCCGGTAAGCGACAGTATTGATATTTTCTCGTCGGCTGCGGAGGAATCGGTCGAAGGGAGAAATATAATTACGATGGTGACAAAATACCCGCTGGGCATAGGGAGGGTGAACTGGCGACGAAGAAGGGGGATACTGGAGGAGACCCGTTAGATAGAACGACAGAGAACGAACCAGCGAACGAGCTAGCGTACGAAAGGGCGAAGGGAAACGTGGGCGGGCGTGTCGAAAAAGAGTGAGAGGGAGGCTCGGTGACTTCCGGCGGTGCTTATAATTGTACCAACACTCAGTTTCTGTTGCCTGGCTTCGCCCGGAGCGGAACGCGCGCCTAAACGTTTGAAATACGGCTCACCTTGACTATGCTTCCTGATGTCCTCGAAACTGCGACCGGTACGTTGTATCCAGCGCGTATTTAACCGACGACGACGCCATTACTGTATCTCGGAATCTGGATTTACTTTATCCCCGGGAACAGACTTTTCGCACGCAATTGGATCTACCGCACGTAAATGGAACTCTTAACACAAGATATCACCTGTCGTTGTGACATTTAAGTGCGCATTATTTTCTTTTAAATGGATAGTAACGATACGATGGTATTACGGTAAATTGCCGAAAATCCGATCTTGATGGTACAGCAGACGAAATTTATGTAATTCTGTGCAAGGGAAATTTATGAAATCAAAACACGTTGATAATCGAACAAGAATTCAACAAAATTCACCTGTTCTTCTCGAAATTCGACATACTAAAAACGGAGAGTGGCAAAGCAGTGGAAACTTTAATTAAAAAATCTGCTTCCTTCAACTTGTAAAGTAATTCAAAGGAGAAGAGAAAGAAAGTGAAAGATAGAAATCAACAACATTGCCAGAAAGTTTATCCCCGCGCGATCATCAGCAAATTGCTAACTCGGTTGGCACTCGGCGAAACATAAAGGTTATGGTTGCCGCGAGAGAAGAGTCGTAAAGAAGAAGAAAACGAAAAGGAAAGAAAGATCGAGGACACCTGGAACAAAAGTTTGCCTCGTTGTCACCGCGGTGCCGCGGCGTTCCCCAACGAAAGTGCTCGGCAAAGAGGGGTGAACCGAAGGGGGGGGGGCAAGCGCGAGAAGGAGAGGAAACGGGTGCCACTTGATTCAAGAGGGTGAATCGTTACGACTCCCGGGCTTGTAAGCCCTACTTAATACTTTAGCGCTTTATTTTATGCGTGAGGTCGGGCTTGGCTGTAGGTCGCATTTATCACTCTAACAAAGAACCTCGCGCTGCGCCGCGCGGGAAAGTTCGAGCGTGCGAGGGATTGCTTCTCTTCTCGCGATGGAAATTTCGCGGTCGCGGTGGGCGAAAGTGAAACGGGGATTTATGGTTTCCTAAACATCGTAGCTTCGAGGTTTCAGACGATATTTAAACCCCGGTTCTCGGTTTGATGGTATTGTAATCATCCTGGAAGTTTGCAGTTCTGACTTTAGAAAGATTTTACACTTCATTCATTTATTATTAAGTATATAAAGAAGCGCATCCATTTGTATAGTATCGTCGTTGTTAAGTAATTTCCTATCTGCCAAAATAAGAAAAAGCAGATATGACTTGAAAACTAGAATGTCATCAATGATGAAATGTATGAATAGTTTTAGAGTTTAAAGCATTATAAGACATAATAACCATTCATTGGTCATACATTAAGCTATCACTTGTTTTTTTATTCACACTCTTACAACAGAACATCTGGTTCGATTACATGTTTTACACAATGTGTAATAGAGTAGATATTACAATATGTATTAACACTTATGAACGAGAATGTATAGGATACGAATGTGACACGATACGTGATGATGATGATACTACAGGATACTATGGCGACAGGATACAATACGAGTGGATACGTAACTTTTAGGAAGAACCAATAACGAAGTAGTATATCAATGCCTATACGTCCCAAGTAGCATTAGACATTATAGGATGAGTTTCGGTGGCAATAAATTCTTTCCCAAAGTAATAAATACTAGTTCTGAGAAGTTATGGTGACGATGAGCGTTGTTTTTGGGTCTCGTTATCGCTGCTGTTATTTATATTGATCAGCTTTGCCAGTTCGGGATTAGGTCTTCAAAGTGTTTTAATTGACGTACGTAACACATAAGTTATTTATCGAGAGTAGTTCTCGCAGAAAATAATCTGCATATCAAGGTTTCGAAGTTTCTGAAGTTTATTAAATTTACAAGAACTTCTTGAAGATCGTCGTGTAGTTGGATGCGTCTCGAAGAGTGTGTCAGACTCGTCCGAAGGTTTCGAACTTTGCAGGCTAAGCTTCTTCAGCAGCAAAATTCGTCAGTACTTAACCAGAACACGATATTATGCGCGAACACGGAGCCCATCAAGGTTATAAACGATACTCTATTTCTGATTCAGCTGAATAAAAGATATTACGGTCGTGGTTTCATTTCAATTTACTCGGTCGATGCATATTCTTTTGTATAATTAGAATTAGGATAAAATTAACTAATTTAATTACAATTTCACATGCTTGTTTGTAAACAAGAAAGTGTACATAAAGATCCATTAGTACGAAATAAGGTAAACGATCTGAAAACCACGCTTACGGTAGTATAAAGGGATTGCTAGGTAATAATTGCGGTCAATTATAATACGGTACTTGGCATTAAAGTCCGATAAACCGGAATGGGATTACTAGCAGAGTGTTAATAATTGTTCCTGCTGACTGTGGCCTAATGCTGCTCGAGATAACATCGTTTAAAATGCGCAAGGGGACAGGGTGCATGTATATGTAGTATCTGCCAGTTACGTATACATCTTTCCGCATTTGTTTCTGTAAATTTATTTCATCACTCCATTCATTAACAAAAATATCTGGAAATTCACTATAATTTAACCATTATAACGTTTAAAGAAAAAATACTTCTCTCGATTCAATTTTGATTGAACTGTTGCTTTCAATAATTCATCGAGAAAAATGTTAATATTTGTTAGAAGTCTGATGATCGAGTGACTTTTCGCCTTGTTGTCTTGTTGATATTGTACTAATTATTCAATTATGGCATTTATTTTACAACGTACGTCATGTCAATTTGCATATTTCAATTTTCAAACATAAGCCTTTCAATTCCTTTTTTGCATAAAATGCCTCAGGCATAACTACCTATCCTAGCGTACTTCTGATTCAACCACAAGATACCATAGATCACTACAAATCTGACACTACATGACATTCGGCTCATCGATCACCTAACTCAAACATATTTCAAACTGTCGTATACCGTCACTCAAAATCAATGTTCTCTTCTATCCCGAGATATCAGTAAACCCAGCGACCCTGCTCTAACTTATAGCACATGTAAGTGTGACATACCTAAAAAGTTATGACCCTCCAACATTTAAACGCTTCCACCATCGTTATTATGCTTTATTGTAATATTGTACTCCCACAAAATATTATATTAATAGAGTAAATATAATAAATGCCATCCTTCCAATACATACATATATTTACGAACTGATCAGCGTATTCGGTATCAACGTAATAAAGGCTTCCTTTTTTTTATAACAATGTTTTAAAAATAACGAAAGTATCTGAAGATACATATACAGCTATTGTAGCGAGCGAGCGATATGTTTACGCTCGCTTAAGATCGGATCAGCCGCGCGGGTGATTGAATTTACAACAGTCGATCGGCTCCCGGTTCTTTCGCTCGCGGAAGTCGCCCCCGTAATTTCCGTATAAACATCCACGAATGTATCTGTTCCAAAGTAGGACCAACGAACGAATCCGAGAGGTAGGCGGAGGAGGAGGTGAAGGCAATCGACTGCGTGTTCGAAACAGCCCCGGGGCCACGACGCTCAACTTTGGCAGGAGAATTCCAATTTTGGCCTCTTTCAATTTAAGGCTACTTGTCTTGCTCATCTTCCTCTTCTCGCATTGCGGCAGACCTTCGTCATTTCAATTCGTTTTCTCCGTCTTCTCTTTTCCTTCGGGTCTTCGAACGATTCGTGATACAACCTCCTTCCAAGGGAGAGGCAACTGGGAAGGTTTCCGTCGCCATTGATCAGATGCCTTCTTCGAGGAAGCGGGGACTCCCTCTTTTCGTTTTTCTCTGCTCCCCGCGTTCGGTCTCCGCATTCAGAACCCGAGGCTATCGTTATTGCTTCTATTATCGTTATTATCATTAAGATCGAAAGTTAGCGGAACGCGAATTTCCCTCTGGCGTGGCGAGCGTAAAGCTTTTCACTTCGGATGGAGGGATGATCGAAACATTGTACACGCGCTTCGCCTGTTTAATAATCTGGCCGTATGCGAAAACCACGGAATGGGGATGGTTGGGGTCAAGGTGAATGAAAGTGGATTCGTGACGAGCAGATTCTTAATGAAAGAAATGAGGAACACAATCTGATAAGTAGACTGCGGATTTTTATGATAATTTTTATATCAATCTTTATTTTTTTAACCTAAAGAGCAGAGCATGTCTAAATCAGATAAAGTAAATCTATGAAGAGACAAGCACAATATATCCTCCACGAGGAATGTTTTCGTAAACAACTAAAGAAGCTGTGATTCGGGAAGGAAGGAAGGACAGAAATTCCGCATCCGGGGAATGAGATTCGTGCGAGTGGAAAACAAACAACGGCAAGTTGGACGATACAAATTATCGACTCTGTAACAATACTAATTTGGCAGCGAGCTGGCTGGCTGGCTGGCGCGCACTAACAACGTCCAGCCTCGTCCCCTTGGGGGATGCCATTGGGAAGGGTTATTGCCAGAGTTTCTTCGACTAAGCACGCGACACGTTAGTCCGACGCAATTCCCTGCTCTAAACGCAGCCAATTGCGGTAATGCCTTGGCCAACCGGCTGCAGGATAAACATTTTTAGTTTCCCCTGGTCCCCGTCTACCAGCCTTTCTTAAACGATCATTATTTCGGGAGAAAACAACCGCGGGCACGGGTCTCGTTTCGCGAAACAACGGGAGACGTTGCGTAACCGATGGAGACTGAAATTGCGTCTAATCTTCTCGCTTAATAAAGGGTACTTAACATTCCTACGAATTAATACTACGTCACGAACGTTGCCGGAATACCAAAGAGATTCATAGTACTCGTTCCATAAAGTCCACCCGCCTTGTTATAATTACACCGTCTAGGTTCTACGTAATTGTTACCCTTTGTAGAATTACCTGCACTTACCCGAATTTGCTTGATTAACTGTTTCCTGGACTTTTAATCAATCGAAATTGCTCGATACTGCTTCTTGTCATGCGAACTTTTAACCTGAAGCGAAATCTCTTATCATAATTATTTGCTGAAATTAATTCCTTTAATAACAAGTATATCAGCAAAAATAAACTTTTACAGAAAATTTTTAGTTTCTTGTCCCTCTAAAATTTAATACGCAATGTGGGAATGATTTCATGTTCATACTGAATAACTTTGCTCGTTTGTTCTAAATCGCGACATTTTGTGGGCTGAAAGTTCCCCGGACAATTCTGGGACGCGATCTGTTACTCGTAGAAATAACATGCGTGTTGTGATGATTTATGAATGAAAGCAAAATACATATAGAATTCATTCTCCAAGAGTATATCTTAGATGCTTTATTTTGCATAAGAATCCACAGTCCACTGGTAAAGTTTATTTCAATACATTTTTTTCTCATCATAAGTTCTCGTTCAAAGTATTTCATAATTTTTATATCAATCTTTATTTTTTTAACCTAAAGAGCAGAGCATGTCTAAATCAGATAAAGTAAATCTATGAAGAGACAAGCACAATATATCCTCCACGAGGAATGTTTTCGTAAACAACTAAAGAAGCTGTGATTCGGGAAGGAAGGAAGGACAGAAATTCCGCATCCGGGGAATGAGATTCGTGCGAGTGGAAAACAAACAACGGCAAGTTGGACGATACAAATTATCGACTCTGTAACAATACTAATTTGGCAGCGAGCTGGCTGGCTGGCTGGCGCGCACTAACAACGTCCAGCCTCGTCCCCTTGGGGGATGCCATTGGGAAGGGTTATTGCCAGAGTTTCTTCGACTAAGCACGCGACACGTTAGTCCGACGCAATTCCCTGCTCTAAACGCAGCCAATTGCGGTAATGCCTTGGCCAACCGGCTGCAGGATAAACATTTTTAGTTTCCCCTGGTCCCCGTCTACCAGCCTTTCTTAAACGATCATTATTTCGGGAGAAAACAACCGCGGGCACGGGTCTCGTTTCGCGAAACAACGGGAGACGTTGCGTAACCGATGGAGACTGAAATTGCGTCTAATCTTCTCGCTTAATAAAGGGTACTTAACATTCCTACGAATTAATACTACGTCACGAACGTTGCCGGAATACCAAAGAGATTCATAGTACTCGTTCCATAAAGTCCACCCGCCTTGTTATAATTACACCGTCTAGGTTCTACGTAATTGTTACCCTTTGTAGAATTACCTGCACTTACCCGAATTTGCTTGATTAACTGTTTCCTGGACTTTTAATCAATCGAAATTGCTCGATACTGCTTCTTGTCATGCGAACTTTTAACCTGAAGCGAAATCTCTTATCATAATTATTTGCTGAAATTAATTCCTTTAATAACAAGTATATCAGCAAAAATAAACTTTTACAGAAAATTTTTAGTTTCTTGTCCCTCTAAAATTTAATACGCAATGTGGGAATGATTTCATGTTCATACTGAATAACTTTGCTCGTTTGTTCTAAATCGCGACATTTTGTGGGCTGAAAGTTCCCCGGACAATTCTGGGACGCGACAATTAGTGCGAGCTAGCTAGTTAGTAGTTGGAAAATTTGTACTCCAGCCGCTTTCAGCAGTTTTATCGCGTTTATTCACGGCGCCAAGGCTTTTCCTATACTTTAGACGTTGATAATCCCGTTTTGTGTTTATCCTTTGCTTTGATCACCCGCGTAAGTTGAAACGTATGCGGGAACACATAAGCGTTTTAATTACTGTTCTATTGTTCTTCTTATGGTGCATAACAAACGTTGGAAGCATTGGTTTTTTATGCTCGCTTATTATTCCAGAATCACAAAGTTATTGTGTATAGTTTGTACAAAGCAAAACTTCCGTATACTTTGCGAGGATTACTGTGTTTTTGATAGGTAACGTTTCTTTCCGAAAATATGTGCGTCTTTTGTGAATATAAATGACTTTAAGCTACAGTACAGATATTTCCAGATTGTAACAGAGAGGTACAATTCTCGACTCGATTTTCAGGCGGAAGTTGAGGTTGTGGAACAGTACAGTGACCCCAGGGACAGCAAGAACAAAGCGTACGTCGAGCCCGGAGCTGAGACATCTCTGCCGACAATCTACAGCAAAGTAAATCGCAACTATTGCCGACCGTATACGGGTAAGTGGTGGACCACTTTCTTACTGCACCCGAGCATTGAATCTAACAAGAGTTTCCATCTCATAACAAAATTCCACTAAGAGTATCACTTCTTTATTTAAATGCGGAAAACGAGGAATTTTTTACACGGATTGGGAAGATTTTGAGATCGTCGAAGTATAATTATCAAGTTTTCAATTATGCACATTATATACACATGTTACTAGTCTGCAGAATTTTATATATTTTTAGAAAAAGTCTATGTAGAAAAAATATAATTAATGTGCAAAATATGTGTAGATCATCAAACGTATAATATATATGGTTCTTGATGGGTAGGAGAAATTTCAGTCTGAATTTAATCTTTTAAATTTGTATCGTAACAATTTTATTTTGGATGGAAGTCCGTAGTCATATATCACCGTTCAGTCTTTTAAAATGGACCGCATTTGCAAATCGATATCTGCCTCGATACCAGATTTGCTGCAGTTTCTAATACTGTGCAATATCGAGGAAGCTCGGTCAGTGGCAAAATACGATAGAAGCATGCGAATTATAAAATATGCGAAAAAGGATGGACATAATTTTTTGCCACTATTATTAGATGATTTATTCCAGGGATTAAATATCATTGAGGTAGATAATCCGTAAACACGACACATAAATCAGGGTTATTTAGGATGGCATTTGGATGATGATCAGCGCTCGGTTCCAGTTGTTCGCTTATCGATTGGCTCTGCATAGTTCTGATATCATTTTGCCGTCGAGCACGATTAAACGTTTCTTTTTCGTTCTTTTTCGCACTCATTCGAACGTATTCATTGTATAACAAAATGTCAATGAAAATTTATTTTCCCATAAGACTCTGTAAAATTCGCAAATTTTTAAAACGTTATATCTCGGTTATAAAGCAATGAAGAGCCTTGAAATTTCTACGCAAACCTTTTTATATGCAAACGAAAGCCCATGTAAAATTTTAGCTATATTTTATCGTTAATTCAATTATCAAGTAAACTCTCTTAATTGGCTGCAATATTTTGCATTCATGCTCTGAGAAACAAAGTCAGAAGCACTATGAACGCACCTGTAGCGATGGTTGGGAAGTCGGATTATAGAGTTAACAGAAATTCCCGCGGTCGTGCGGCAAATTAATGTGGCGAGTCCCCGTCGATACGACTAATACTACGGTGTACGAATTATCGAGGCCGCAACTCAGTTAACATGTAGTAAGAGAACCGGAAAAGCCCCTCGATAAGCGAATAGTGCGTACAGGTCGGGATAACTCCGGGCGGGTTTTTCAACGTACATTGTAGTGGAAAAGATTCGAAATCCCCTTAAAACGCTAAGTTAGATATAATATTTTTAAAGGTATTTGAAGACTGATTTAACAAAGGCATGTATAATATAAATGCTTTGTACTACAAAAAATACATATGCATTATATGATTTTATTAAAAGATTAAGCACTGATAATTATAAAATTAAAATACACCGTTGCGTGATTATGTTAAAACATTCTTCACTGACACAGTTCTCTTCAATTCAGCTTCAATCCTCTTATGGCAATTTCACTCGATTTGCAGTCATCTCGTTGCGGTACCGCCTCGTAAACTTTGGCCACTCGTTAACCCGTTTCAGGGTAACAAGGGTCCCGATCGAAGTCTCGCGTCGGAACGTCCGCAGTTCCGGTTTGTAATTAACCCCCGTAGTTATCTCGCGTAACCGAAACCGGCGCGGTGGACACCAGGGATCCGCAAATCGGGTATTTTCTCAGTGTCTCGTGCCGGTCATGCGGGTCGTCGCTGATCCCAGGCAAACACGCGTCCCGCCTAGAATTTGCATCCTTACCATATTCATGGGCTTTTAATTCGCGCGAACGTGGCGGCGATCAAGTTTGACGAAAAAGACCTGAGTAAACTTGCCGGGTAAACGTTTGCCGTCCTGCTGGAGGCACGCCGGCCGACGGTAGAGCTCTTTGATACGACTTCTTGCCCGGATGCGATCGGCATTCTAATCATGGGAAACGATGTTTGCTGCCGAGGTCAGATCGTTTCTGTCTGCAACGCTATAAATAATTAATGATGACGGAAACTAATCGGTTAGGGTATAGCGTTTCGTCGTTTCTCGACAAATAAAGCATTCGCACAGATGTGGTAAATAAACAAGTACTTTAGAAACGAGATTCGCCTACACTCGATTACAAGTTTGACGCCGATGAATTTTTTCGATTTCGGTCCAATATACTACAGTCAATCTTCACACACGTGCCTCGCATGTCACTGGGGGAATACATTAAATTAATGAAACGATAAAGAATAATACAAATAAGTAAGCAACAGGAACAAGTGGATTTATGTTCTCAATTGACAGTAAGAAGCAATATTCTCCTGCATTCGTTGTCCAAGCTGATACTTTATATAATACATCACAAAAGTTTCTAAATAAGTACACTGAAATAAATGGTTTAACAGACAAGCGCAATAAACACTACGTTCGTTGATGCATAATTAAAACTCCGCTGAGAAAAGGAAGCTTAAAAGTTTGATCAGATATCCGCAGCCACGCGTTCTGCTTACCGTAACTCCGTAAGAAGAACGGAGATTGGAGTGGTAGTAAAATCCTGGCATGCGGTTGGCAAGCTTTAACGAGAAATCCGTGCGATCCCCTGCGACCTCCCAATTCCGTTCTGCTTCATTAGGTTTAATCGGCCGGTTTTTAATCAGTTTAGTCGCACGGCCCACTCAGGAGAGACGAAAGCAAGAAAAAACTCGCCGTGTCAAGGGGCCTTGTCGAAACGGTTAATAAGTCTCGCGCTGAGGGTGGGAAGGGCGGGGCACGCGTTGCCCTTGCGAGGAGGAGAACCCCTTGAAACTTTACAGACTGGTAGGCACTGCGGGACCAGGCCGGATGAGTAAAAGGAGAATTTAATTAAATATCACACGACATATTATGGAACGAGGCAACGGTGGCCAGCAATGTCACTCGCACGCCCAAAAAGTTCCAACGAAACGGACGTGTCCTGAGATTTCACCGGAAGTAGGCGGAGAAACCAATGGCCAGACGTTTCCTATATCTCTTTCTCCATTGTACTATTTGGTCAGATTCGTTTCGTCCAACTCTACCCTCTGCCACTGTCAGTCACTTTCCAAGGAAGGGGTAATCGGCTATTCTGTGCTACGCACAAATCAGTAAATTTTCTATATAGTTCCACGATAATTCTATAAGGGAGCTGATTGTGCAAAGATAAATATGAATCTGTAGTTGACGTCAGCTTGTTCATTGAATGAGGATAGAATGTGAAGGATAATGATAATACTGTTCTTAATAATGTTCTTAGTACTGTTTTATCATTAGAAATATTTATCGATATTTTATTAAAACGTGGGAATGAATTATATATGATAGTGAATGGAATAAAAAATACGAATTGCTAGGATATATCTATACCTGTTCAGTTGGTTACGTTATGAACATAGAAAGATCAATTGAAATTAACAAATCAAGAACAATTGAAATTAACTATGAAAAATTGGTGTGAAATAAAAAATACAAATTGTTGGAATATATTTATACAATACCTGATCAATTTATTACATAATGAACACTGAAAGATTATGGCGGTGATGTTGATTACGAACCTAAGACTTGTACTTTAAATTAATTTTCTGAAGCTTCGATATTTCAAAGGCCCTTAATTTTACCTCAACAGAGCAGAATTGAATTAAAACTTGAAAGACTACTTCTTAAAGCTTTCTCGCTTCCTTGCAAAAAACGATGCTCCTCTCTTCGTTAAAGAATACAAAGAGAACTTTATACTTTGTATAAAAACAAGTCAGCAGTATTTAGCATAATCAGTACGCTATGCATTTTTATGTAAAATAAATCGTCGAAGATAGTTTCAAAAATGGAATTCAGATTAAACAATTTTCTATATATCATTTTATTTTTGGTGTTCCATATGTTGTATTACGTTTGTAAATCCAATTTGCCTGTAAATGTATAAAATTCGCAGCCCGATCATCAATCTCTGAACCGAGTAAAAAATTTGCAAATCTCGTTTCACGAAATCAAGGCAATTTGGTACAACAAATTTCATTTTTCTCCCAGTTGGACCAAAAACCGCGTAAGTAAAGTGGACAGCTGGAAATTGTAGCGGTGTTAATCAGCACTTTCGTTCTTTCGCCGGGAATGAAAGCATTCGGGCGGTCCCATCATTACTCGACCGATGAAAGAACTTTCTCCTGTACTGATTGTCTCTTGGAGCGACCCTCGCTGCGAAAGCTCTACCCTCGTTTCAATTACCGGTACCAGGTGACTTGTAGCTCGTTCCGCGTCCCCGAGCAGTTAACGCTGCTACGGGTTCATCGTATGCAAATGACAAGCCATCCGTCCGTCCGTCCGTCCGTCCGGTCCGTTTGTCCGTTCATCCGTTTTCCACCGTGACTGGGGGGTTGCTTGATTCACATCAAACGCTAACTAAATGCTGTCTATTGTCCCAGCTGTCTATACACACAGGAATATTAAATAACGAGAAAAGTAATTGTAGCTTAGAGGGGAAAACGATTTCGGTTTGGACGTCCCTGGTCAGTAGAGAACGTTTTCATTCTGAGCACAGTAAATATAATAGTTTGAGTATACGCTGAAAAATATTATTCCTTTTTCTGTATGATTGGTAATCATTTATATTGGGAAGGAGAGTAAATATAATCATTGTTTTTAATGAAAAAGAACTGTATACTTTTATTAATACAATTTCAATGATAGTTAATAATTAATTGATGACATTGATTACAAAATTCATTATTACTTCTCCATTTATAAACAGTAAGGCCAATTTCAATTTTAATAAGTATCTTGCTACCTATACGCCACAGATTACAATATATCAACCGGAGTTTGAGCTTAATAGAATGAATCGCACTCGGCAAGAGACATTAAGTGTTCGCTCACGAGTTATGTTTATGACATCGCGATTCGTCGCGCGACAGTATATCTAAATCCTGAGGAGAAGGGACCAAACG